GGACACACTCCACTACAGGTACTTGGATATGCTTTTATGCTCAACTTCCTTAGATTTGTAGTTTTCACAACTACTTTCTCATACACCTATTGGTTTAATTGCACAAATTTATACGGAGAACTCGTGGTATCGTATGCTTCACTAGTGTTATGCTCCTTCAAATCATCCTATTGCCACTAATTTAAAACAAAATTGCAATGTGTTGTAGGCATAACACAATAGCTCTTTTTTGCTGTACTTGTAGTGTGTATCCTGACGAAAGCTATTTGAATATTTTTGAGTCACTAGTAGTACTGAGCATCTGGGAATTCTTCATGCAGGTTTGTGCAGGAGCTGTCCTTGGTTGTTTGGTGTCATACCTTATGAGAGGTTCTACGTAGCTGGCTTTTCTCTTGATCGATCGGTCTGGTAAATTTAGCTTATGAATGCTATTGGAGTCGGTTTCTCTGCACCAGATATCTTTCTTTGCTCGTTTTCAAGATAGCATGGTAGCAGCTTTTATGAATTGATTTGAACCTTAATCAGTCATATGTAATTGTATACTCATTTATGTACAAAAGCATGCAGGGATGTTTCTTCTGAGAGAAAAAAAAGGGACATGCTGTTTGTAAGGATGACTATCCAAATATCAATTAAAATATCATTATTTAGTCTGTGGAGTATAAGTATTCAAGGCAGTGATATTATCGCTGGAGGCAAGAAAAGAACCTATTTGGAAAACATGTACTTTATTTTTAAGATGAAAAATTAGAGGTCCTTTGACACAAATCTGAGAGAAAATTAAACAGCACTGTAGTCTTGGCTTTTCATTGTAGTCTGAAGTCATCGTTGTTGGCTGAACCATGGAAACATAATGTTCTCTTATTTCATCTTTCTCACTGTGAACCAGATGCCTAATCTTCCAGCTTTGCTCTATTTTCCAGTAAATATGATGTTTGGGATCCTTCAAACTAAATTACTTGATGCACTCTGCATGCTTGTCTGTTGCATCCAGAGGTCCAGAGGAAAAGGAGTTCCAAGTGCATCAACATCTAACTTGCTATGTATATTCTATTTATTGACTGCCAATTTGTGAGAATGACAAAGTTTTGTGGTAGGGGAATCTTTCCGCAGAATTGACAAAGTTTTGATTGACTGCCAATTTGTGAGAATGACAGTTTTGTGGTAGGAGAATCTTTTACCTGAATTGACAAAGTTTTGATCGACTTGCTGTGTGAGAATGACAAAGTTTTGACAAATGATTAGATGTTAGGTTAATTATAGATTATCCCATAGTTAGTTAGTTTTAGTATCTCGGTCTTTATATTTTAAAAAATTATATTGACATTCATATAATTACGAAAATGAGACATATAGGTCTATTTTGATTTTCTCAATAGAAATATAAAAATAAAGGGTAAAAAATAATTTTAATGTTTCATTTGGTGGTAATAAATGATGTTGATGGTGATGGACAACGGTGTCGTTAAGGGCTGCGAGTAGTTGTTGTGGATGGGGAGACTGATGACGAGAGGTGAGGGTCGTCTTACATTTGTGTTGACGTCGACGTAGTTGCTGAGCGACGAAAGTGTTGTCGATGCAGATGTCGAACGATGTTACTCTATATCTATATTGGCGTCGACATAGTTGCTAAGCATCACTGCTCGACATCTACATCAACGGTCCTTTCGTCGCTCGATAACTGTGTCGACACTAATGCAGATGCAAAGCGACAAAAGAGTTGCTTGGCAACTACGTTGACACCAGTTTGCAGCTACATCGGTATTGATGCAAAGGTAGAGCAACGAAAAGTCGCTCGACAACTATGTTAACGTCGACGTAATTACCAAGCGACGTTGCTCGACATTTGCGTCGATGTAGATGCAAAGAGGCGTACTAACGCAATTGTTGAGCAGCATCTCTCTACATCTACGAGGGAGATGCCAAGTGACCATCATCTCTCGCCGTCACTCTCTTCATCGACAATAATCACTCATGGCCTTAGCAGCGTCGCCATCCATCAACATTGATGTTGTCTATCACAATCAATTGAAATATTAAAATTATCTTTTTATCTTTTATTTTCATGTTTTTGTTAGTAAAATCGACGTCGTTATGGTAAATAAACCTAGATGTTTTAATTTTATAACTATAGGAATGTCATTATAACTTTTTAAAATATAGAAATCAAGATACTAAATGTACCTTAATATATAATTATCACGATATTATCAAATTAATATTAATAGACTAACCTAATCCTTATAAGTCCATTCTAGCTAAATCCTACTTCCATATGAGGTTAAATTGACGTATTATGCCAATTATGGATAATCAATTTCTAATCGAACGATTCGATGCTTGTGATATCATTCGTTAGATTTCGGTTCAATGAAATAACACCTCTACTTATTGACTTCATGCCAAAAATGTTTACATCCAATGGTAATAGAATTATAACCCAAGTCCATCCAATATCCATGAACAAGGTGTTGATGAGATGAGATCAATCCATGGATGCTGAGCGATGAATATATATATACTTACATGTCAATGCAAATTAGTTTGATTTAAAGATTTCTGTTCTACTCTTGAAACTTACGCAGACCAATGAAAGCAATGAATGATTGTGGATAGCCAACTTTTTCTGCAGCTGCTTATGTCTAATTTATAATTGATTGCTAACACATAATAGCAAACAAATCACATCAAATGGTAATTACTTGGAGAATTAATTGTTAATTCCATTATGAGATGTTGAGTGCATAAGCAATAATAATTGTATCAGAAATGTCTCTATCCAACCCATCCCTTTCTCTTGTCATGTGTTTATCATGCACAGTAAAATACAGCAAATCAACTGCTTTCATCCTCTATTCTTCTGCCTGTCCATATCCGTCAGATGACTGATTAGAATATCCAAATCTCGTGGCATTAACATAACAAAATTAGGTTGAAGTGTACCCTTCAATGCTACTTTCTATATTCATCATGCAAAATCCTCCCTTGTAGAGTAAGAATAGGATGGTTGAGAGATGACAATGGGGAGGGTTCTCATCTTTTTTTCGATCAAGTTGGGAATTTTCATCGTCGTGTTGATGATTTGAATGATTTGTTAGAGTACATTAATGCCGTTAACATATGCTTTGATCATATTTGATAATTCAATATAATTTGATAATACACGAGTTATTATTCCGTCGAACACTCTTTCTTATTTGCTCGTATGATTTTTAAATTTAAATTATGAAAAATATAAACTCAACATAATGATTTCTTTTGATGTGTGGGTCATATCGATATTACGAACATTCGAAAATTGCATGATTGATGAGTCATGTCCCTCCATAATCTTATACTTTTTTATTTTTTTACCCTTATTCTAGATTCAAATGGTGTCACATTCTTCTGAGAACACACTCGGGTAATTTTTGGATTCATATAAAAGTAGGGTATATGAATTATGATTAGAAAAATTAATAATTATTGTAAATAATAAGACAAATGATAAAATTTTAGAAAGAATTCGGAGATACGTATTTATTAAGGTCAAATATCATGGATTAATCAAGATTTCTATCCAGTCTAATAATAATTATATAGTGAGTTGATATCCCATCTCAATGAATTGAATAATAAAATAAAATTAAAATATAACTGAAAATAAAATAAAAAAGAAAGAGTATTTATTATTGGTATCAATATGATTTGTTTAGAATGCGATTTGTAGAGCTTAAAAGGTTCCTAAAAGTCATATTGAAAGGTATAGTACACCATTACTTCCTTTCACGAGGATAATTAATTAATTAATTATATATTTTAAAGATATTTTCAATAGTTCTTAAAATAACTCAAAATTTATCAATATTAAAATTAAAATAATAATAAATAAGAAGAAAAATAATAAAGGTATTGCTTGATGGTTAATGAAGCACACTATAAAATTTAAATTTTACTTAGTGTAAATAACTTTTATCTCAAAGGAACAAAATGAATTAATTATATTCTTTCTAACCCATATTTTTATTATTACAATATGGTATCAATGATTGCAGAGTTAGCATTAATAATTATGCATAATAATCTTGAATATTCACAACAGACTTTAGGAATTGCATAATTTTTTAATTGGAAATACTTTGATATAAGAGGCTAGAATACGTAGAATCACGTCTTACAAAAAATACCACTTCATGTCTCTCTTAAAATTAAATTCTTTCTATACCTCTATAGAAGGATAATAAATATTAATTATAGGGACAAAGGTTAAAGTTAAATTCCAATCATACACTAATATATTTTTTAAAAATTTATTTTTTAATATATCGATCAATCAATTTATTATTATCACATTGAACATCATTTTTCATAAAGGATAAGAGGTAAAGGCGAGATTCGAGCGTAGAATCTTAAGATTTTGACTAACACCTTTAAATTAATTAACACCTTTAAATTTTATTTTGACTAACTAATAAATATTTAAAATAATAAAATAAAAAATTTTAGAAGGAACTCAAAGATATGCATATTTTGTATTAAGGCAAAATCTTATCTTGTGTGTGGGATTGATCGAGAATCTTATCCGAGATTCAATCAATATATCATCTTTTATCAGCAAGATTATTATGACAAAACAAGCAACAAAAATAGAATTAAAACATAAGTAGAAAGAAAATAAAACATGGAGAGTATTTCCTATTCATGTCAATAGGAATTGTTTAGCAATTTATTTATAGAGCCCAAAAAAATAAAATAAGGGGACATTTTCTTTCATGAGAATGATTATTATAACTACCCTTAATTAATTAAATATAATTTTTAAGTTTTTTTTTTAAATATTTTTCCAACAGAATGAGACTCATCTCCTTTGTTTTTGTTTTTGTTTTTTTTGTTTTTGGCTATTTTATTATATTCTCTGCTGTATCAGAAATCCCTGAGAAGTGCACTTTAGATTCTCACCATCAATGGACAACAGCATTTTGGTGTTCATGATGTGAGAATGAGCAGTAGAAAATAGACAATGAGATGTTGGAACAGCACACGGGCAAAGCTGTCAACACTGACTGCAATCACAGCTCACAGGAGATTGTGATGGTGGTGGCCATGCATTCGCTTGTCCAACATTTAGATTGTGACATCGAAGCCTACGATTTCCCTTCTCTCAATCACGAGCGGATTTAGCAAGAGTTGAACATATCATGTACGCAGACAGGTAAGTGAATCTGGATTCGATGCTGTTGCCTCGTATATATGATTACATGTCTGCAGACACCAACAGAGAAAAGGTGGGAGAGGAGCAGACTTTTCCTGCTTTTGGTCGCGAGAGAGAGAGAGAAGAAGAAGAAGAAGAAGGGCAAGATGATTCCTTCAGGAATTGCAGCAGCATCTTCTTCCTCTGCCTCCTTCTACGACATCTGCAGCTACGCAGCTGGAATTGCCGGTGAGGTTTCTCAGCACCCGCTCAACGTTGCTTCTAATTGTTTCTAGTCGTGTAGTTGTCAAGATTGTCGAACCAGTAATCCTCCTATCAACCTTAGATTAGTTAATCCCATGAACAAAAGGTCCTCCGGGAAATTACACATAGCACGCAGGAGCAGAATCTATACAAGCTGCTCTTAGGAAGCTAAAAGAGAGTTCTTCCAAATCATTGTTCCTTTACCCTTCCCCAGCAAAGGGATAAAGGGAAAATGGTGAATGCAGCAGATATTTGAATCGATTTATTCTTGGTGCATAGCGTTCGTTCATGTCTTCATCACTACTTTCTTTCCCTTACCCCGACAAAGGGATTAAGGGAAATGGTGAATGTTTTCGCCTTCAGCAGTTTCTTTTGATCTGTTGCAGGCAATGTTTTCGCCTTCGTCTTGTTTGTGTCGCCAATGTGAGCCCACTTCATCGACATCTCTATTATTTCCATCTCCGTTTACATTTGCACATGAAAAGCTCAAATGCAGCACGATTTGCTTGAATTCTTCAGGCCGACCTTCAAAAGAATCGTCCAAAACAAGTCCACCGAGGAGTTCTCAGGCCTGCCTTACATATATTCCCTCTTGAACTGCTTGATCTGCATGTGGTATGGCCTTCCTTGTGTCTCCTACGGGGTGATCCTGGTTGCCACAGTCAATTCGGTCGGTGCCGCCTTCCAATTAGTCTATGTCATCCTCTTCATTCGCTATGCGAATTCTGCAAGAAAGGTGAATGGATGAACAGATCATATCTCATCTTCTAGCTTAAGCTTTTAGACAGCAATTGATGTGTGATTGATTGTGCAGTTGAGGATGTCGGCGCTGCTGGCAGGAGTTGCCTGTGTTTTTGCTGCCATTGTATTTGTCAGCCTTGAGTTCTTCGATCACACGACGAGGCAAACATTTGTTGGATACTTGAGTGTTGCGTCGCTTATCTCCATGTTTGCTTCTCCATTGTCTATCATTGTAGGTTTTCTTTTCATCGCAAATTTAGATATCGATCGATGATTGTGTTCGGATTTCTTTACCTATGTGGTGCACTTGTCAGAGTCTGGTGATCAGGACTAAGAGTGTGGAGTTCATGCCTTTCTACCTGTCCCTCGCAACCTTCTTGATGAGCATCTCCTTCTTTGCATATGGGATGCTGTTGCATGACTTCTTCATATATGTAAGAATGCTGAAATTTTAGATTGGATTCTCGTAGATTGCTTTCGGCGATTGATGCTTGTTCTTCTGAACTGCTGTTTTGCAGCTCCCAAATGGAATTGGAACTTTTCTTGCGGTCATACAACTGGTGCTGTATGCCTACTACAGCATTAACTCAAGAGAAGACTCTAACATGCCATTGCTGGTTTCATAGTGATGTTCTAGTTTGACAAGGTAAAATGTGCATTCATTAGTTTCATGCAATTGGTTGCTTTGCATAGATAATATTTTAGATGCAGAAAAGTAATCCAACTCAGAGGTTTGGCATTTTCTCATGTATCAAAGCTTATAACTTCCCAACTCTGTTCTGTATGCACTGATTGTGTTTATCATGCTAATCCGAACATGTTGAAGCCATACTCTAATCAATGATATTATTCTCATTATTGTATAATTTCCGAACATGCTAATCCCAATTTATATTTTATTTATATTTTCAGGTGATCAACACTTTTAGAAGCTGGAAGAAGAGGAAGTTTTCAAATCAAGCGACATCGGAGATAGTTCATTTTTGTTAATAGATGTTTGGTCACAAATTTATTCATTTTACTGACAATGATGAGACCTAAAAAGAATGTTATTTTAGTGATCACAAATTATTTTGTAATTATAAAATTTTGGATGATGAGCTTATGCGCAATGTGACGTCCTCGCTCAATTATATCGAACGTATTACTTGCTCCATAAAAATCTCAAAAAAAATGTGAAGCATTAGCTCTCACAAATAACATCGTTAATGTCGTTTTCAAACTCGGATATAAAAAGATGGATGATTGTACGAAGAATTCATAAACATAGATCTTAATTATTGTTATTACATGATTAGATCATCTTTCACTAGAAACAAGAAAATAATTTATTACTTTTGATTTAATTAAAGATATTGTCTTTTTGTTATTGACGGTGATAAAAAAACATCTAAAAGAAATACTAGAATAGAGATGATGATCTAACTTCTAACAAATGCTAGAATAAAGAAGCCTTTCTTTTCCCCCATAATATTCTACTCCCCTAGAAAGAATCCAACCAAATAATGTTATCTTTTGCTGCACTCTAAAACCTGATGATCTTATCCTGACCTCTCTGAGCCCCAAAGCAAATGCTGAGTGTGAGAATACAAACCATAAACTATTTCCTCTGTCAACAAACAACACATGAAGTGTCTTCTCTGTTGCAAGATATGAACAACAATGAGCACAATTTCTGAGTTGACAGGGGGGAAGATTTCCTCATTGTTTGATGAGACTTGTCTTTTGTTAGACACATTGATGGTACAGGTACTTTCTAGTTAACATGCATTATCCATTGGTAGAAGAAGATATGTCAGACCTATTTATTTGTCGGCACAAATAGAGGTCATCTCAACCTTTTCCTTCTCATTATTATAGGTGAGAAGAAGTCTCAAGTAGTGTGACATGGAATACAACAAATGGAGCATGTTGGCATTTTTGTTTGTGGGGAATCTGTGCCAATTAATGGGTATCAAACTATTTTGCCACCATCTGAAGATTCTCAACTCCATGGACTTGCAAACAGACAACATGAGTTCTCAACATCTCCCACCTTATTCTCTCCTGTACATTTCATTCCCAGAGTCAATTCATCCTGCATAGGAAAGATGAAGTTCTTCAGGAAAATGATTTAAAAGAACTCTCAAATTTAGGTGAAACTAATAATATTTAAGAATTAAAAGAAAAAAAATACACATATAGTTCTACTGTATGAAAAAGAAGTGATGTTTGTATGGTAAGATTGCTCCTTTACAATATAGAAGATTAAGATTTGAGTTTAAGAAACAATCTCTATATGATCTTTTCAATTTTTTTTTGCTTTATTTTGTAAAATGTTACATTCTCTTTTAAATAAATACACATTTATTTTTAAGGAAATACATTTTGTACAACAGCAATTGACAAAGTTGGTATTAATTTCTTGTGAACTCTAGCAGCAGGTTTAGGGAAAAAAAAATCTTTTTGGTAAAAATGATTACAAGTTTTAGAGGATTGCTCTTCTGATGTCTTCACCTGATTTTTTATCATTGAGTGACTGCATTTACTAAGCATTTATGAAACTGATAATAATGAAATGGATAGATTTTGGCCATCTATAAGTTTAAGCTTTTTAAAGTGGACTCACAGGAGAGAATGGAGAAATAGAAGAAACATATCATTTAGTTGAGATGTCATGATTTCATTTGCTTCGAAGTAAAGGGTAAGCATGGAAGCTCCAACCATCCAATGGGCAAGTTTAGCTTTCTCCACTTTCTTCCTTTGGCTTGACTATGAAGGTAGTCATTGCAAGTTGCAATGCACACTGGATATGAACCATCACTGATGCCATGAAAAGTGAAAGGCATTGGCAAACCATGAGAGACACAGAACAAGCACAACATTGCCATATCATACAGCCAATCTGCTGCCAAAAGGAAATGGTTCTTGTGGGGAACATAAGACTCTCACATCACTTTATAGGTGAAGAAGACTCTTGATGATAAATAATAATAATAATAATAATAATAATAATAATAATAAAAAACTCAAAAGATGATGGAGACAAGATTAGAGAACTATCTTGAATTAAATTAAATTTAACTCTATAGTTCTTTATATACCGTCACATATAAACTTTCATAGTACTAAATCTCTCTAGATTTAAGAGTACTAAAGTATTTTTCTTTTAACACCACATATTAGGTATTTAGAGAACAACCAACCCTTAATTTTCACCTGATTATTTTTTGTTCAAATAGAAATATTTGAAAACATAAATCCCTTATCCCTAAGCAAATTGGTCTCCAAAAAACATGTTTTTAGTTAAGAATTTTCTTAAAAAATACTAACCAAACTTAATAAATCTGAACAATAAACTATGCCATTTAGATCTTGCTTAGATTTAAAGATCCACTTCCTTCTTGGTTTGACCATGTAGGCACTCATTGCAGGTTGCAATCCACACCATGGACTGAACCATCATGAGATGACTTGAGTGATCAAGTGAACTGATGAACAAAGAGGAACTCATCTGCTGCTAAAAGTAAATTGTTCCAAACAGTAACCTCTGCATTTCTTTTGCTCTGACATTCAACTGTCTATATGTACTTTCTTCACTTCTTTTTCTCTTTGGTTTGACTATAAAGCCACCCAATGAAAATTGCAATGCACACACACTATATATGAACCACAATTGGTGCCATGAGTGACAAAGTGAAGACAATAAACAAAGAGAAAAAGATAACAAGCTCCACCCTGCATTGTTTTTATAGCCATCTGCTGCCAAAAGGATATTGTTGTGAACAGTAAACTATGCAGACATCATATGCCATTCAAGTCTTTTTTAAATGTGGTGATGCCTTCTGCCCTTCCAATTAAGTTTGGCGCATCTTTTCTTCAAGTCCCCTTGGATTTTTCCGGAGCTTTCAAGGGGTGGAAGAAGCTTATTAAATCCTCCAACTCTGCCTTATCTTTGGGTTATCGTAACAGGAAGAAGTCTCAGTCCCAGGTATGTTTCCTTCCTCTTACAGCTTTGCTCATTACTCAATGCAATAGAAATGGACTGTGTTTCTATGTTCGTCTTCCCTTTGATTCATGGGAGTTCTTAGATTTTAGCTCTATGAAGCAGGAAATTTCCGGTAAAGCCGACATTACAAATAAGAAAAGACATCCTTAGCTGCTGTGGCCGACTATTCGGATGCTTTACTGTAAATGATGCATGGAGAAAGTTGGACAGGAAAAAAGAATAATTGTTGGTTTCTCCTTGTCGTGTCTGAGAACAGCATTTAACGCTATATTGAGGGGATTAAAGAGAGGAAAATTGTCAAAATCAGGATCAAACTAAATAAAAAATAATTTCATGATATTTTCCAGATCTTACTTTCTGCATAACTATTTAGTTCCTCAAAGATGTTGATGGTTCTGAATCAACAGCTATGTTGATCATTAAGAATGATACCCAGTGCACTGATACCAGCTATTATAGCATCATAGATCTTTGTTGATAATAGGTTACATAACAGTTGTTTTCAATATTACTGTAGATTATTGACTATTTACAAGTCCTCTCTTTTCATCATATCATCAAGATTTAGATTTTCCCTATTTTGCACTGATCTTCTTCCAATCTCATGGTCCCCTCAATGCTATATTAGGTAGGAGTGATTTGAATAAATGATTAATAATGTTTAATGAGTTATAAAATAGGAGATTTTGTTGATTTTAGACAGGGCTGATGTGAGTAGTTGTTTAAGAAGGTCTAATTAATATGAGAGAGGAGATGAAAGATGTTATTCAGAACAAAGTGTTAGAGATAGGCACTCAGACTCACATTTTGCTTTTTCCTTGACAATTTCAAGAATTCCTAATCCATGTAGGGGAAACAAATAGAAGATCAAGAAAAGTTCAAGGCTGAATTGGCAACTAAAAGACTGGCAATGGCATCCTGTCAACCTCCAAGAACTACTGAACTTGTGACCATGGATGTGGAGAGTGTTCTTCACATGAAAGAAGGATTGGGTGAAACCAGCTATGCTCAGAATTCCTCCCTTCAGGTCAAGATCTTCCCTTTCATGTCAACAAATATCTAATGATTTTGACCTCCTCTCATTTTTTTTTTTTTTTTTCCATTGTCTGTTCTTTATTCAGAAGAAGAGCATGGAGGCCATAAAGCATATCATAGTAGACTCAGCAACAGATGTGTATGCCTCAAGAACACCAGGATGCTTCACAATTGCTGATCTTGGTTGCTCCTCAGGGACTAATGCCTTTTCACTAGTCAGCAAAATAGTCGAATCCATTCATGAAAAGGCTCGACAGTCGGAAAGGCCGACGCCAGAGATCTTGGTGTTCCTTAATGATCTTCCGACCAATGACTTCAATTCTGTGTTCCTGAATTTTCCGGAGTTCACTAGGAAGCTCAAAGGAGGCATTGAGCTGCAAGAAGGCAGTGCTCCATCTGTATACTTAGCTGCACTTCCTGGGTCCTTCTATGGCAGGCTTTCCCCAAGCAATAGTCTTGATTTCATCTATTCTTGTCATAGCTTGCACTGGCTTTCTGAGGTTAGCATTCAGTTCTCTAAATCCATATATGATCTCTAATAACTAAGTTCTTTCAGATAGATCTGATACATGTATTCATAAACTAAGAGTGAAGTGTTGTCCAATGAATCTGAAGGTTCCTCTGGGGCTTGTTGACGGTAATGGTAAGCCAATTAACAAGGGGAAGATATACATATCTAACACAAGCCACCCTGCTGTTCCTTTAGCATACTTGAGGCAGTTTCAGAAAGATTTCAGCCTCTTTCTCAAGTCAAGATCAGCAGAGTTACGTTCTGGTGGACGAATCGTTGTCCTAATTTTAGGAAGAAGAACAGATGATCACAGCGATAAGAGTGCAACAGTTTTGTGGGAACTTTTAGACCAGTCTTTGGCCATTATGGTCTCACAAGTGAGTGCCACTCTTGTCTTTTATTCCTTTAAGTGTTCATCTGCAACTTGCAGGGATAAAAGAGTTCATTCCTTTGAAGCACTCAAAATGAGGTTTGGAAAGTAGACAAAATAATGTTCTTTTGAGTTCCTTGTAATTTTCTCTGTTGTTACATTCTGCATTTGCTTCATCTTCATCCATTCTCCTCAAAGATCATACAGTCTTTGGATTGAAAGCTCAAGATAAAATATAGCAAAATTATATTATAGTTTCCATTCCTTAAAGCAACTCTCATATCCTAAACCATTTCTACTATGTTCTTCTACTTGCCTCACAGGAAATGGTTGACGAAGAGAAGGTAGACACATACAATGTTCCATTTTATGCTCCATCAACAAAGGAGATTGAGGATGAAGTAGGCAGAGAAGGATCATTTGAGATTGACTTCATACAAGCTTATGAGCTGAACACAAGCACTGGAGATCCTCACAAGGATGCAAGAATCACATCGATGGCCATTAGAGCCATACAGGAGTCGATGATCACCCACCACTTTGGAGAAGGCATTGTAGATAAATTATTCCAAATTTATAGCGGATTGCTCAGTGAATTCTTGGTCAAACAAGAACTAAAATGTCCTCTCTTGATAGCAGTTCTAAGAAAGCCACATCAAACATAAAATCTGGTCACACACCAGTATGAATAAATTACTTCAAAGTCGACAATGACAACAGCATTACTTCATCTTTGGATAGGCATCTTCATCTTTTCAGCTTCAAATTCAACAGCATGTTCTTTATCTTTGTAATTTCTCCTTTGAGAGCCTTCTTAAATTCATGCTCATCCCAGTCATAGGCTGGTATGGCATTTTGTTTCCTACTATACTTCCATATCAAGTGAATATACTGTGGCATTTGTATTGTGTATACCATTTTGATCTTCCAAAACTTACTTTTCCTGCTACTCATGGTTTTGCTGTGCCATTATGTGTTCCTAAGGACAGATTTTGTTCATGTACTTTCCACGAGGAAGAAGAGAAGCTGCTTAATGAAATAAGAATGCTGAACAGAGGAAGGAGACTAAATGTGAAAGATACTGAGGCCAGATAGTGCAGTCTTTTGGAGGAGAGAACTGTTGCCAATGACCTTTCAAGGAAGGACAATAAATGATAAGCAACTTTGCTTCTTTCATGTTCATCATCACTTCTTTCATGCCAGAAAAAAAAACATGCAAAGTTCTATTTGATATATATTATAAAAATTGCAACACAAGAAGGGTTAGGAGAAGAGAAAGTTTATTCCTCTGAGAGGCAGGAGAAAGAACCAGAGTTGCCAAGTTCACCATCGTCCTAACAATAACTATACAACCTTACTCTTGCAAGCAAAGACATTTTATGGTAAGGTGTCTGCTAACCAAAGAATTCTTCCTTGTGATGTCTTTGCAATCCAAGTTAAAAGGTATGTGTTAACCATGTTGGCCACATGTTTGAACTGTTTATTTCAGAAGAGTATTTGAATCTACAATTCATGAAAATTTTTCCCTACTACAATGCTTATTATTATTCCTCACTATAATAGACACCATTTGCTAGGTTTGGTTTCATTTGTCATTTTCTTTGGTCTAGAGTCATTAATTTTCCCTCAGGCCACAAGTCAACTACAGTACAATGGGCAATAAATCTAGCACATGTCATCTAATCTGATGTCAGTGATGAATATTAGGGAAACTTGATCTGAAGAATCTTAAAATGAGAATTTAAATTTCTTCATGTTCTTAGGACTCTTCATCCTCTAAGGTGTACTTGATACATATAACCATTTCAAGAAATGTTCTTTAATTCATTCATAGTAAAATTTCATCCTCTTTTTCTTCTTTTAAATATTATGACTGGTGTCTCTATTTATTTCAAAAGTTGTTGCTCTTGACAGTATAATTTATAATTGCATGACTCCAACATCATGATTGACAATCCTTCTTTTGGTTAGTCTTAGTATCTAAGCCATAGCTTTGATTAAAAAGAACAAAGCTGCTGATTTCATTTAGTAGATATCATAACATAAAGGTTTTGTGCTAATTGCCAGCTGCTTCGGCCTTTTGTGTGATGTTCTTGATTTCAGTCACCGTCGTGCCAAAGTAATGCGCTTTCGGATAATAGAGCAGATATCAGCAATCTGACAATTGTTAGTTAGACTACTTTCCTTTAACTTGAAATAAAGACTAAGCAGAAACACAGTTTTTTTAGGAATGACAATATAAATAATTGCATTTTGTCAAGAATCTCATATCCCACTCTCAACCAATGTAGTTTACCATAGCACCCAAGTAGTGTTCCTCCATGGCACCTAAAATGAAAAAGCATCCTGTTCCCTAAATAACACTTTAGTGATATTGGATTACACATGCTGAGCATGAACATGCAGTGTTTTATTGTGTTTTATCAGTTGGTATCAGATCAATCTTTTTTAGTTGGTTATGTAAGAGCAATGAAAGATTGAGGCAGTAGTACATGTCCCTTAAAGCAAAAGCTGTTTGCCATGTAAATACTCATGTTACTGCAAGAAACATATCACTATTACAATGCCAAATGGCCCAGTTGCAGAACATTTTCTTGGATGGAAACAACTGCAGTACACAATGTGAAGTTACATTTCGGAATCCAGTCTAAGGGGATAGAGCTCACCAAACATGTTCTTGTTTTAAATTAGGATTGTATGGTCTGGTATTGTTTTATTCTTTTCACATCTAGGTTTCTGTATGCATGAAAGATGAGAACTTCCAGAAGCATGTTTCATCAGTATTAGAGTCCTTTGTCTAGCTGATAGACATCTTGACCATAGAATTGCAGGTTCTAAAAAGCTAAAATAAGATCTAGCACCTTCTTCATGCCACACATGACAATCACCTTCTAAATTCTAAAGCCTTCTTGAAACAAAAAGTAAAGAACTATGGATGTGATTAAGAAAATGTTGCTTCCTGTCAAAGTTTATGAGCAGCCATTCTAGAAATGACAAGTGTTGTCATTGTATAAAATAAGATCTGGAAACTTCTCAACACTTTCATCATCTTCATGCTACACATCACAATCATCTTCCAAAGTCTGCTGAAGATCATGCAAAAGAATTTCTGTCTGTTAAAACCCCAATGTCATGACAAATCTACATATAATTTCTGACTGCAGTACAAAAAAGCTTGGTGGTCACGAGGGTTCACCATTGAATTAGGCACTCTAGCTTGCCTAGCAGGAACACTTTGATCCTTTTTTCTTTATCAAAGTAGAAAGTGAAGCAAATAAACTGATCAAAGAAGAGACATTTGTTTAAGAAAGTCACCAGACAACTGCCTCAAGATAATGAAGGAAAAGCAAGACTTCTGCTATATGCTCCCACCAAAACTGATGCAGGCGGCTATGGATGTCCACTGGTATTCCTTAAGGTCCAAATCCATCTTCTCACCACTGGCACAGTTTTGTCTCATCAGGACATTTGCTTGCTGTTAGACCATGGACATCTAAGATACTAGGGGGACCTTGATTAACCTAGTGAAGCCACCTACCTCCTAAATTCTTGAAAGTTTGGAAGTCATTCTTGCCTTTGGAATTGCTTTCAAGGATAATTCAACAAAAACATAACTATCTAGTTTGAATGATTTGGACTCAATAGTACACTGTAAAAGACAAAGGCATTATTTCTTATTAATTCATCTACCTTTTCCAAGTTTTGCAGCACATTCATGTACCATGTGAGCAATGTTTCTCAAATGTGATCAAATTGAACTTACCTGGATGTTTCCAAGGCAAATGTGGTCAACTAAGTCCAGTACTATGAAAACATTCTTATAATCCTTGATCAATCTTCCACTTATTTTCTTACTATCAACTAACCCACTTGCTCATCCAACATTTTAGGTGAGACCCACATGAGCAAGCCTATAACTTCAGATCCAGCTATGATGTTTCATTTGATAGTTATTGAATTAATGATATTGGATGGTTCATAACTTTTTGCTAGTAAAAACATATTAGATATTAGTGTGAATTGGCTTCATAGCAAGAGAGAGAGAGAGAGAGAGATCAATTTATCTGAGGAGTTCAATTGGCACTTTTGTATAGAACAAGATCCTGAATGCAATAGTATTCTACTGAAGAAACTCCCTAGTGCCCACATCAAATGGTGATGGCAGCAGGGTTGTCTTTATCTAATGGCTGAAGTAGGACATAACCTAAGCCATTACTGCTTTATGGGTGCTCTTAGATGTTGTAGTGTTCTACCTCATTTGCAAAAGGAAACCATGGACATATCTTTAGAAATTTGGCTGCATTTGTCTTCTATCAGCTTTATCATTTCCATTGATGAATGAAAAGTAGTGTCCCATTCACCTAATCTAAGATGAGCATCCTTCACTAAATGCAAACCAAAAGCAGCACTATTCTGAATCCTTTTACATGGAATTAATCAAGTAACTGAGCTAAGTTAGACCTCTGTTAGTGCTTAGACTAATAGTTATGTCATTAGATATAGATAATTGTATGGGAATATTTCACACTATTTAGTGGTTTATTGAGATATCCTAATCTCATTTTATTCGTATTCTTAGGCAAATGTTTTCAGCCATGAGAAATAAAATCCACCGACTGTAATTGGATAGCTGTGTGAGATGTCATTCATGCCCTCTTGAAAGGAATGTCACTCCCTCTCTAGTGCTGTTTCTACATTTTTATTCATCTCTTTGTTGCCTTCTTTTCCTTCATTTTGCTCTATAAATTCCACCCCTGTCCTCACCTCCAATTCCCTTTTCCCCTTCTCCTCTCCTCTCCTCCCTCGCTTTGCTTTATCAAGGTTACGCTGCTCCGGCCTTCTTCCACTGTTCTTCCCCTGCCTCTGGTGATCTTCTGTTCCAAGAACTCTTTGGGGAAACCCCATCAGATTCTTTTCTGGAACTACTGATTCTGTTTCAGAAACCAAGGAACAATCATCAAGGTCCGGCCTTTGCTTGATTTCTGGTGTAAAAATCCCACCTTGCAGCTGAAACAAGGGAGGTTTACCTGTTCTCTTGGTTCCAAGTTCTGTGCTTCTCTGCATCAAAGCTTTGTTTTCCTTTCACATGCATCATCACATTCTCTTGTTGTTTCCGATTCATGTCGGCTATCCTAAGTGAAATCCTACTCTCTGGGTTTATGATAAGTTCCACACTTCGGCGCAGGACTCATCTTGTTCAATCCTTCTCTGTTGTCTTCCTTTACTGGTTTTATGTATTCTCATGATCTTGTTCTCAGATCTGAGCATATATATAGTCTCTCAATCTCTTCGTCCTTTTTCCTGTAATCCTTCAAAGTTCAAAGGATAACGACATCTTTCACGTAGATTTCCACCCAAGATCTTTTCTTTCCTAAGCAGCACTACCAAATCTTCCATGGCTTCTTCTCCTAGTGGGACTTCCTCCGGATCCAGCCAGCTCCAGAATTCTGGTTCGGAAGAAGACCTGCAGGCCGTGATGGACCAAAAGAAGCTAAGGCGAATGATATCGAACCGCGAATCCGCGAGGCGGTCGAGGATGCGCAAGCAGAAGCATTTGGACGAGCTGATGGCACATCTGAACCAGCTGAGGAAGGAGAACCGCCAGCTCTCGACAGCCTTCAGCCTCACCAAGCAGCAGTATGTTGCAGTGGAGGCTGAGAACTGTGTCTTGAGGGCTCAGATGATGGAGCTTGGCAACAGGCTGCAGTCTCTTGATGAGATCCTCAGCTTCCTTAACATGAACATCAACATCAGTGGTCATCAAATGATTGACAATTCCATCAAATGTTTGAATCAGCCCATCATGGCCTCAGCAGACATGTTCTACTATTGACAGACCAAAAAGGTCACTGGCACTGTATGACTGTGGTGTTTGTCATGTTGTGGTCGACTGGTTCGTATTTTACCTTTGTGTCAAGTGTTGTGTGTGTATGGAGTCAGGGTGGAAGGAGTTTGCATGTTGTGATGAAGACCTTGAAGTATGTCAGGTTTTGGTTTTGGTTTGTATGTGGTTTATTACCTACATATGCATTCAGAGCCAAGATTGTAATAGGTCTTTCTTTATATATAATACATGAATAGTTGCATTCAGATGAACAATGCATGCATCAAGCACACACACACACAAGTAGAAACCAGATGAATTTTGAAAGGGATGTTGATTGTGTTTGATTCTGAGAAAGATGTTTAGAGTTTATTTTGTTTATTCAGAAGATATATGAAGAATTTTTTAGAGGTGAAAGTGATGTGAAAACTGTAGTAATTTGGGCTCAGAGAAGTGGAAACCAGAAAGCAGATGGATTATGCAGAAGGATACTGATCTTGTTTGATTCTAAGAAAGATGCTCACTTTCCCTTAAATGGTGGAAGAACTGATTTTGTTTCATTATTATTTGAAATAGTTTCTGATAAGACTGTTTATATTGATCCTCTCTTGACTACTAAGTATGTTCTTTACTTCTTAGGTATGTTCTTTAAGTATGTTCTTTACTTCTTAGGAGATTAAGATGAATGGCATACAAAACTAGAATATAGGTGAATTTTGAGAAGGATGCTTAAAGAACTTATTAGGTTTGATCAAAAAATAATTCAAGAATAGTTAGGTCAATGATGACGGAAAACAAGTCTTCGTGTTTGCGCAAACTAGAATTGTGCATTAAACAATATGCACAGCAATTGAGGAGTACTGATAAAGAAAGAAAGCCTCTTTGGTTTCCCAAAATATTAAAATAATTAAAGTAGTATCACTGTTGCTGATGTCCAAACTTTGCTTTTCCTTTTTGGATTGAGTTGGGTAGCCACTTGAAAGTGGCTCACAGTAATGAATTGAATTGAATATGTTAGGGTATGAGGTTACACACTTCTTTGTCAAAATGAGCAAACCACATTATAAACTCACCTCAGATTTAGTAAGATTCAATCAAAAAGAGATATTCCAAATTCTAATGTGCAAATAAATCAATGTAAATATGAATGTGATCCAAGTAAAATTAACCATTAACCACCAACCTACAGTGTAATCTCCCTCTCTCTCTCTCTCTCTCTCTTTGTGCATACTTGCAATTGTTTCAGGAGAAAACAACTTTGATACATGAGAATTGTTCAGCCAATTTGCAGGCAGGTAAAGATGCTTCATACCATCGCCTTTTTGTTTCTGCATGAACCAATTGTGCTCCTTCTTCCTTCTTGTTGTTGACATGTTTGCTGAGAAGAAGTGCTTTAGGTGGTGGATTTAGGTTGTTTGCTTCTTATATCCTGTTTGAGTGTCAAGTGGTATTATCTCTTTATCCCTTCTTCAAGATATAATATAAATCAAATTTAAGTTTCTTGATTGATGAGGCTCAGATTTCCAGTTGGACGAGCGAGAAATGTCAGATTTCCAGTGCATCGCCTATTGGATCCGAGGCCTTATCTCTTACTCCTTCTAGTGTCTATGGCTAAACAGGAACGAGGCCACAACTATCAGGCGTGAGATGCATGCCGTAGTTCTCTCTTCATTTGTTTGATCATGAACAGATGTTGATGTTGAACCGTAACATTGCTTATTTAGATCGGTAAAGATCTTGCCAAACACGTTTCAACTCACACAACAATTGTTTTCTTCCTCATCAGTAGTAACAAGTGTCATTGTGAGACTTCATCTGGGCCTTCATCAGCCTGGTAGGCCTCTGCAAGCAACCAAGGCTGAGCGGGTGAAGGAGACCTTGCGACTCCCCGTATGACTTCCAACAGAAGGCCTCTCTAGGAACTTGGGTCTCGTTCGCCGGCGACAGCTCGATGTCCCTCAGTGCTACGCCGGTGCATGGCATGCCGTCGCTGCAGGCCAGATTCATGGGTTGAAACCTGTAGGTCCCTGATATCTTCTTGTACGTGACCTCGGAGATAGCCACTGCATCCGTCCTGTTCCTGCATGATCTCCTGTTGCAGTAGTACTGATCGATCACGATCGGCACATCGACGTCGACGACCTGCACGTTGGAGAACGACACGTTCCTGACCGATCCTACGCCGCCCTGAAAGATCAAATCTGAAGTCAGCTCAGAGTTCTGAATCTGCTCAGTTGCTATGCGCTGCAGAGTTTACCTGCCATGTTTTAATCCTTACTCCAGATAGAGCATTTTGGACGGTGACACTGTTAACAGAGATGTTGGAGACACAGGCCAAGCTACTTCCCTTCCCCAGCCCTCCCACGCTGCCACGATCTCATATGGTCAGTAAAAGTGAAGATTTAGTCTGCGAATTTGTTGTTTGGGATTTCTGGTTTTGATGTTTCTTCACCTGATTCCATGACCTGGGCTGCATCTGAGATGGTGGATATGAACATTAGAGCATCCAGCTTGTATTGAGACGCAGTCATCACCTAGAAAGATACAGTAGAAAATGATCAACATTGCAGTGGCTGCATTGGCTGGCATTTTTGTCATCCTCACCACATCCGATATCAGAGTGCTTGATCTCGACATCTCGAGTGTTCTGAAGGTGAATTCCATCAGTGTTGGGACTATCTTTCGGTGAAGAAATTGTAATGTTCTTCACTTTGACACCCTGAGAGCTGTCAAATTTCAGATGGCACAGAGGGCTGTTGATGATCCGAATGTTGCGAACTGTAACATTGTAGCACTTGTACAACCTGATTACCTGTAACAAAGAACATGTCTTGAACTGGGATCCAGGACAGGTGATAAATCTAACTAGGAATCAGAGAATGAAATGTCATACAGTTGGTCTCATAGATGATCCATATTTGGTCTCTTTCTGCACAAGTCCAAGATTAGAGCTTTTAGTTTGATCATACACTGTGACCAGAAATAATAGCTTCTGTCTATGCATGTGTTATGTTCTTTTCCTCACCTCAATGTGGTGGCTTTCAGAGATGTTCCACAGTACAAAACCCTGACCATCTACAGTACCACTTCCTTGTATGGTGAAGTCATGAAGCCATTTTATGTTGATCCATTGATAGAGGTTGGATTTAGCCACACTTGAAGGAGCCACAAGAGTTCCATCTATCTGAAAATTAAGTGCAATCACTCCGGTATATTATAGCAGCAGTTTGTGATATGTGAGGCAGTGAACATGAAAAGGCAGATGCGCAGCCACATAATGTTAGATAAAAACATCTTCTTAGACATGGAAGAAGTCACTTGGCAGATTCAGCTAATTCATAGAAGATGTAGGTGGCAGCTGATGTTTTTCAGCAGAGTAATTTGCTAGTGTTTAAATCAAAAAAAGAAAACCATCACCACAAAAGAAGATAGGAAAGAGAAAGAACCTGGAGAACAAGGTGAGGCATGCAAGGGCCCTGAAGAGTGATTGGTCTAACAAGAAATTTGAACTCTGATGGTAGCTCTATGGTTGCTCTGGGAACCAAGCAAGCAGCTTTCCATGCTGCTTTGAATGCCTGTACATGAACACACATAAAGAATGTCTTACTGTAGCTTCACATGAATAATTCACTAGATCAATGCTCAATGTAACATAACAAAGGATAAGAGCTGATGAATCTGACAAGGAAGGTTATTTGACAACTGCAGAGAATTATACCAATACTAGTCATTGATGGTTGTATGTTCCAAGCAAGAGTTGCAATTTAATGTCTAAAAGAATTAATAACTTGTATTGATTGCTTCTGCAAAACAGCTTACAAGCTCATGTTCTTAACAGAAGCTTTTTAAAACTTCAGAGACTTTGAATTTGGTAGCCCTTCAGAACAGAGTGCAGAATGCTACATTATGATCTAGTCAATGAATATGGAAGAAACTGGCAACAACTCAAGTGCTTCATACCTTTGAATCATCAGCAACTCCATCTCCAGTAGCTCCAAAGAACAGGATGTTGAATTTTTTTGAATGAGGCATGTAAGAACCATGTTGATTAGCTGTAGATGGTGAAGAACTGTAAGAGTGGCCAAGGCCAGGATCATGTCCACCATGTCTCAGAACTTCACTTGGCTTCAAATGGCTCCTCATTGGTGATACAGTAGATAATATGCTAGAAATGGCCAACCAAAGGAGTACATGAGAAACAGGCAAGTGATTTCTGTCCCTCATGATGAAACTTCAGTGTTCAACTTAGTTGGTTCCAGACTAACAGCCAATGCTGGAAGTTTCAAGTGTTTGTCTTCCCCAAGCAGGTAGTTAGCAGTTTATATAACAGTTGGATCATACAAATACTGCCTATTGATTAGCATACTGCCAATTATTTTTCCTCCTCCTATGGAATAGTTTATTGGATTTCCAAGATTTTAAACTCAAATCTGATAATGGTCAAAAGAAGCATTTAACTTTTCAATTTCAGCAGAATGCTTAGCATGTGTGCCTGCAGAGTAAAGATGTAGGACAGTGAGATATGAGCATATAGGATCTATCAAGCAGCATTGTGTTGGACCAGAATGGTTACTTTCTAAAGCATTGGAAATGGCAAAGTGCAAAAAAGAGAGACATCCACTTTGATAGAACATGGACTCTGGAAAGTACTTATCCTAAGGGACACTTTACAACATGGCTGACAGGTTTATTACTTCCACAAAGATCACAACTAGAAGCATTAAGGAAGTTATCTGGGACCTTCAAGACACAGACAAGGAACAGAATCTGAGACTTCCTTTTACATTTGTCACCAGTTGTGTGTAGGTTCAGATCAAAAAAATTCAGTGAGGCCAAGTTGAAGAAACTGTGAACCCTGTTGCTTGATGCCTTCCAAATTCAACTTAGTGGACCAGAAAAAATGCACATCCAAGTTAGAGTGCCTTGAGGGAAAATTGCAAAGGATGCAGTTTAAGATTTTGTGATCTCTAGGAGAAGGGTGGAAGCCACTGCTGGTACTCAAGTTCCTGGGGTTCAAATCCAAAAGACTTTATGAATCCTGGTCAGACTGTCAGATGAGTAAATCTGCAGGGTATAACCTTAGCAATAGAACAAAAAGAAATAATTCTTTCTAGGTGGTGGGCTGCATGATGTGGATGGGGGAAAAAGGAAAAAAACTCATCTTCTTCATACTGCAGAGATCTACTACTGATCCTGAGCCTTCTTTATTCCTTTGTTGCTTTAAGCTGTTGCAGAGCAGTAACTATTTTAGCAGCTTTTTGTTACCCCCAACCTACAGCACTTGCAAAGAGTGAGTGTGGGAGCTGAATGGGTTGGTCTATATATATATCAAGGCCTGCAATCCTTTTCTGTGGATTTTATAACCTCCTTGATTTAGCTAAAGCATTTTCTTTAAGAAAATATGATGAGAGATAGAGAGACCTAAAAAGATAAATATGGATTCAGATGCTTTTAATTTAACTAGGGATATTAATGTTATTCAGAGTCTTAAATAACAATCAAATAAAAGATGATGAATACATTCTTGACAATCAAGTGACATTCAAATAACAATCAAAGAAATGAAAAGAAACTCATCTCAAAGAATCTTCCATTCTCACCAACCATCTAATAAGGAATGTAATAGACCTCATGATTAATAAACAAGATGTGCTCGATTTTGAGCAGAGTTTCCTGTGAGGATCAGTTCCAACTATACGCATCAAACTGGATGATCTCACTACACAAAGAATGTAAGCTATAAAATTAAAGGGACAAAGCTTGCACAAAAACCATAAGAAAATTATGGACTAGATTTCAGGTTTCCTGTCCTTTTCATTTGCTTTCAGCGAATGCTATGTATACAATCAAAACTATGCTGAGTAAGACTGCACTACCACATAACTGGTAACCTACAAAGAGCATACATTGCAGCTCTTTCTACAAAATCCAAGTGAATCCTTGGATCCTACCATATAGAGAGGATTCTTTGCACATTCTCCTGCTGCAGCCCACTGTGGGCAAAGAACATTCTCATCTTCACATGCGTCGCTTGACCTGTTTTTCTCTGGTTTGTCGAAAGACCTCACATGAATCCATTTTGTTGCAGACCACTTCTCGCCTTCTATAACAGGGCAGCTTCCATGCAAGCTTTTAGGATCTGTTGTTGCATCAAGGTGGAGACTAAAGAAGAGCAAGGCGTCACCTTTTTCAGGTTTTACTGCACAGACAACCAAACTAAGGGAAGACTGAAATGTTCATAAATGATAGATATTGCTTCTGTGTTCAGAAACAAATACGTATGATGTGTAACCAGAATTCTTTTAAACAATTTAACAGTTAAAGTTTAGGAAGTTAACAGAACCAAACAAAAAAGGTTAAATATCCAGACCACTTTATGCTTAATCGTGAAACTAGGCACAGAAACCACTGGATACAATCCAAAGCAAGTCAAATCATGAAGCAGCATTTATCTTTAGATAGTCATGATTTCATGAAATACAAATGCAATGATTTGGGAAATTTTCTATCTATATTCTATTAGGAACTTGAATCAAGGTCTACATGAAGTGCAAAAATGATATGAATCAACAGTGGTGTAATGTGTGATACCTGCATAACCATTTTTTGCACAATCTGACCAGGTATCATTCTTCAACTGAGATAACTTACCCTGAAAATGATGATGAATGTAGACATAAGAGAGATCTTCTGCAATGTGGCTATTAGTGAAATTGTTACCTCTGAGTTGGGAAAGATGGTCTCCCCACCCTTCTGAACATTGGATAAGTACATCAATACAGTGGCAACTCGATGACCGCCGAGTTGTTGATTGGTTTGGTCATGAAAATAATCAAAATGTGGCTCATATTTTTCCCCAAGTTCATAGTGCAGTATTTGCATGGACTCGCCATTCTCTAGTAAAAGGTTGAACATAGGGTCATCACACAAACGATAAGATAAAATATGAATTTTTACTACTAATTTAAGGAAGATCTGTAACCTTCTGGAAGGAAGGTCCAAGCAGCAATCCTCTTCTCAATTCTTGCAATGACTTCATCCTACAAGGAGACGATAAAGTGCATAAGATTTTGGTGTCTAGACAATATTTTGGATGCAACTACCATGGTCATAACAAAGGAATAAACCAGTTGGATGATCAATCCAATGCAAAAATGTTTTGCTGCAAGGAACAATAAGAAAATTCTGTGCATTACAGTTATGCTATAGCTCATTACAAACATAAATATCTGATCTAACAATCTAAGATACCTTGCATACTTTAATCTGTCATACTCTTATGTCTAGGTAGAAAAGAAACAGAAATGTAAGCATATACCATGGAATTCACTAATATTCTGAAAAACCCTCACAAGACCATGAGCAGAATAATATTTTATCATGCTTCTAACATAATCTGAAAAACTTGGAAAGAGAACAACAATTTGTTGAAATATCTAAGCCTGATGATTCAATGCTGAATCATATTAAACAATCATAGGTGTGAAATAACTTAAAATAATTACCCAAGACAAGAAACTTTTTCATAGTACAAGCAGAGATGCAGGCATGCCACTTAATGTGGTTCATGGAACAGTGAAGGTAGGATTAGTCAATTTGTGGTTTTTGGAACAGTTTCTGGGGTTAGAGGGATCTACTGGTAGCTACACCTTAAATTTCTGTCAAAGTCACATACTCTCTATCTTCCCTCCAGCTATCCATAGCACAACATTTTATGCTCTCTATCCGTCACCTGGATGACTATTCTTCACGACATGCTATCATTTATTTCTGACAGAAAAGGCTGCAATGGAGATTAAAATACATTATAGACATTATAGGAGGTCACTATAAAAAGAAAGGAAAGGTCAAATTGTAGAGGAAGGATCCAACCAAGCAATAAGCCATCCTATGTTATGACAACAACTAGGATTCTCCAGTTTGTTTCTAAATCCTTCATATCAACGAATAGAAGGAAAGAAGTTTAAAAACTTACATGAATATCCCATGGTGAGCAGAGTGAAAACTGTGTAACTGTATATCAGGGACAAGTCAATACAACCTGTGTAAAACCAAATATGGTGCTTTCTTTTTATTTCTTCGTTTTCCAAACTTCAAACTGTATGAATATCTCATCAATATTTCTAGCTTGTTCCCGATTTTGGGGGCAAAATCAAGCTTGGTCCGGGGCCTCGGGTTTTCTGTCATATTGTTCACTATCCAGTAATTTCAAGTTTTCACTACTTGAACCCAAAAGTTTCATTGTATAACAAACTGCAAAGATTGTCACTTTTCCAGGCTTGTTCCCAAATTTTGGAAAAAAAAAATAATGGGTCCTTGTGTTCACTATTGAATAATTTCAATTTTTTACTATTTGCTATACAATGAAATTTTTGGGCTCAAAGACCTGTTCAGTGCTAGCCCATGCAAAATCATATATGTTCTTTCTTTCTTTATATTTTTATGTTTTCCAGATTAAAGCACATCTACATTCCATCACTCTCTTTGGCTTGTTTCAAGGATAAAAACACAGAATTCCCAAATTTGGGGCCCTTGTTATCTTTTAAACTAATGACTTCTTATTCAGTAACTTCAAGTTTGTACAACTTTTGTTATCTAATGAAGATTTTGACTTCTCATCACATTGTTTTTCCAGCATTACAAAAAGAACAAAATCCAGCTCATATAAAAAAAATGAATATTATATATATACATATATATGTATGTGTATATATGTATATGTATATATATGTATATGTGTATATATGTATATATATATATATAGACATATATATATATAGACATATATATATATACACACATATATATGTATATATATATATTAGAAAAAGGAACTGCAACATAAAAAAGAAAAAAGAAACTCATGCACTAGTATGCAAAGGAACCCAATAAGGGCTTTCCTTCTCCTACCAACATCAGGTAAATTGAAATATAGGAAGTCAGACCATGTCTTTTGGGTCAAAGTAATTAGTATTTTTTTCCTAAACAGAAAAAGTCTTTGAAAATAGAAAATTTTAAATATAACCAAAATTGTATGTTTGTTTTCCCTAGCACTTCACATTTACAGTACAAAATTTGGAAGAATTTGAAATGCATTTCTAGAAAGGAGATGCCATCATCTTTTGATTTGTATTATCATGATGCTGATAACATTCCAGACAATGTTTTAAGATCAGACAAAAAAATTAACCATGTGGATACACTAATTAGTCAACCATCAGCTGTGCCCACTTTTTTTATCTCACATTTCTAGGTTCTATTTTCACAGAATCAGTTCCTTTTTTCAGAA